AAAGTGGGTTGGCAAACGGAAAGAGATATTAACATGGTGTAGACAATTACTCCCCGTACCATACAGGAAAAATGTGCCCAGTGGTGATTGTGAATCAGCAGGTCTTGGTTCTGGTCTGCTGTGGCACCTTGTATGCTGTGAACTTTTGCCATGTCTAGGGAGACTGATGTTTAAAAATACACATTTCTCTAATGGCAAGGCCAGTTACAGTTTCATCTGTTGCTCTTGCTATGTTGAACTTACTGAAAGGTAGACTTTTTTTTCTTTTTTTTTGAGAGAGAGAAGTTTTTGCTATAGGGTGCGTGCACTTGCTGGAGAGATAGAGAAATAGAAAGCAATAAATTACCCTCCAGGGTGATGATTGCCACACTGTAGTCCCTTCTCCTCTTGGGATTTTGGGCACACATGCCCTTGTGCCCGGCATGAGATTCAAGCCACCGGGTCCGGGACTTAAACTATGGTTGACTACGTGAAAGTTCAGCAACGTAATCATTACACTATCTGCTGGTTCCAAGAGGTAGACTTTTAATATACTGCCTCTCTGAGATTTTCAAGATTACGCCAGTTGGGATTTTTTGGCCTAATTTAACCTTATTCTCTGTAAATTAGCACTCCTCATACGACTGACTTCTGTACTTTAGTTGATGTAGAAGTCTTACAGCTAGCTGCTCACAGCTGTCTTAGTAAAGAAGGTCCAGATTTGTTAAGTTATAGTTGAGTTTGGCTCTGCCTGAGCCAGTCTAAGTGTGTTTTTGTGAGATTGTGCCTTTGAAAAAGTTTGCTTTATGCTTTTGCCTTCTGTGATTAGACTATAATTGTGCTTGTTTGAGAGGTGTATATTTTTTCTTGGATTGCCACTCTACTTGCTGAGATAATTTTGCCTGATCTAATCATAGATTTCTGATTCTCAGCCTGGCATTTCATGTGGGAGGCCTATTTTGTTGGGAAATAAGGACCTGACTCTTGTCTTGATCATGGATTTCTGAAGTGTAATAAAGAATAGGGATGATTTTTTACCCTAATTTCTACAGCCTATTATTATAAGTCCACCTGCTGCCCACTGTTAGCCATAGAAAACTTTCCTAGGTATGTTACAATACTCTTCTCTCTGTATACATCTTTCTCCAGTCTTGATTCTTCAGATTTGATCACTCTGTGAGTTTCCAAACTATTAGTGATATATCAGGATTTGCAGAAAATTGGATATTTATTTATTTTGTTTGAGATACTTCTAAAAAATAGATAATTTTTAACTGACGTATAATAGTTGTATGTGTTTATGGGGTACAGTGATTTTTATGGTATGTGTATACAAAGAGTTGTGGTCAAATCAGGGTGATTAGAATAGAACACTGGCTATTTAGATATCCTGGAGTCATGCTGAATGTTGGTACAGCCAGTAAAAGACTGTTGCTGGGGAATTGCCATCATTAGCAAGAGTCTGAGAAAACAGGTGTATATCTCACAAAGACCTCTGAACTGGTGGTCCCCTCGACCACCCGCAGGGGATGTGCTGGCCTGCAAGATTTTTTGCTTGCACTCTGCTGGTCAGGCAGCCAGTTGTCTGGAGTGTCTGGGATCTGTTGGAGGTTTGAGGTGATCTGGCAGTTTACACAGTCTGCAAACTTGCAGAAGGTGGCAGAGTGGCACAGTCTTTTCCTTTCTTTCTTCTGGAAGGAATCTCTAAGACCTCTAAGGGTATGCTCCAAGGTGTGAAAGCTGAAGATTGGGCAAAATCTAGAAGGCAGAAAACTGGGAGGGTGCCCTCTTAGATGCTGTACGTGCTTGTTTGAGTTGTATCGGTCTCACAGTTCATTTAGCAATTACCACTGGCCTGCATTTTCCACACCCAGAGGCCGCTATTGGCTATGTGGGTAATGACTGCATTTTTGTTACTGTTCACTGGATGGCTTTTATGACTCTTAACGTGACCTTGTCTACAGTGTATCCCCTACTCTGTGCTGCTGAAGGACCTAGAGATGCGGAATCTCCGGGAACTAGAAGACCTCATCATTGAGGCTGTCTACACTGACATCATCCAGGGCAAGTTGGTTTACACAGTCTGCAAACTTGCAGAAGGTGGCAGAGTGGCACAGAGTCTTTTCCTTTCTTTCTTCTGGAAGGAATCTCTAAGACCTCTAAGGGTATGCTCCAAGGTGTGAAAGCTGAAGATTGGGCAAAATCTAGAAGGCAGAAAACTGGGAGGGTGCCCTCTTAGATGCTGTACGTGCTTGTTTGAGTTGTATCGGTCTCACAGTTCATTTAGCAATTACCACTGGCCTGCATTTTCCACACCCAGAGGCCGCTATTGGCTATGTGGGTAATGACTGCATTTTTGTTACTGTTCACTGGATGGCTTTTATGACTCTTAACATGACCTTGTCTACAGTGTATCCCCTACTCTGTGCTGCTGAAGGACCTAGAGATGCGGAATCTCCGGGAACTAGAAGACCTCATCATTGAGGCTGTCTACACTGACATCATCCAGGGCAAGTTGGACCAGCGAAACCAGCTGCTAGAAGTGGATTTCTGCATTGGCCGTGACATCCGAAAGAAGGATATCAACAATATTGTCAAGACCTTGCATGAGTGGTGAGGCTGAGGGAA